CTCTCTCTCTCTCTCTCTCTCTCTCTCTCTCTCTCACTTCTGTACTCTAATATGGTATTGATTTTGGTTTGTTTTCTTTGATGCAAATTGTTGTCTTGCATTTTGGTGGTGAGTACTCTGATGATTCATTTCTTAGATCTATTTTTTTGTTTTCAATTTCTCTTGTTTTGTCAGAGATCTGTAATTGCTTGTGGACTTACTGTTACTATGGTTGACTTGATCTGTGCTTTGAAAATTGAATCTTGCTCTGTTTCTTATTATGTATTTCTTTTGATGGAATTGATGGAATTAAGCTAAAGTAGTCTTTTTTTTTCTTTTTCTTTTTCTTTTTTTCCCTTCTGATTTTTGGGTTTTACATACTTCCTTGTCTATACTTGGATAAAAATTGTATTGTTGAATTTGATTTTGTAGTGAAATACCCATTGATGAATAACTTCGGCAACTGAAGCCTTGCAAATGTGGTTATGAGGTTCGAGAGCCTGTTCTTTCCCAACTCCTTTGAGTAGGTCTTTAAGTGTTGGAAGTACCAACATATGAAGTATATAGTGCCATTGATTAAATAATATAATTGAGAGCTTTCTTCGGAGGCTTTTTCATCAGCAATTGTCCGGGGATATAATAAAGGATTTTGTTAATGTGTACCCTAAGAAGCGTAAAATGATTGTATATTATACATAAAAGTTCATGCAATATTGAATATATAATCTTTTAAAACCTTTTGACATATGCCTTTAGGGAACCTGTTAACAAGACCCAATAATAAAATCAGCATTATGGTGAATTGTGTAAAACTATATATCTAAAACAACATGAATGCAAACTAAGTTTAGCCTAAATGACTGTGCGGCCTGTGACAAGAATTTGTGGTAGAATAGAAGAATTTCTTTTCTGTCTGTTGGCAAATTCAGTGATCTATCCGTTAAATGATAGTCTAGTATGATGGTTTTATGAAAAATCAACCACTAAAATTAGTTTCTATTATAAGGCTTATAACAGGCCTTTATGTATTCAATTGTTTCAACATGAAAGTTGCATGAAATCAATTGTTGCTGGGGCCAGCAGAAGAAGCACTGACACTCCAAGATGGATGCTGTGTCCACGTCCAACATGGCAGGGACATGCTTATTCACTTGTCTATTTTTTTAATTATTATTTTTTGTTTTACACATTAGGGACACTTCGTGGACACACATCTTTTGTTCCATGGCCGTGCTTCTTGGCTGGCCAGCTATTGTTTTGCATTTACACAACCTCACAATTATTGGTGATGTCCTTAATGTTTGGTTAATGCTGCCGTATTTTATGGATATATTGCTTCATCTGTATCTGTCTTGATATTTGATTATTGTTGCAATATCTTTGTGGATTATTATTATTTTTTTTGACGGCACCATAGATTGTGTCATTTTCCCTTTTCCTTTTTATTTTTTTAAACATTAACATTCAGGGAATGTGAAAACTACTTGGAGCGAAAATGCTTGATGATTGACTGTAGTATCAAGGAGTTTCTATGACATAAACATATACAGATAACTATCTTGGATACTATTAATCTTATTCTCATTCTCTGTTAATGTGTTCCTAGGTATATCTGTATTGCATGGTCTGATTTTTAATAATAATGCTTTGCTTTTGTAATAACTAAAATGTTACTAATCATATATAAAAAAAAATTGAGTTCTGTTCACTGCTCATTCAGTTATTGATTTATGGTTGAGAAAGTAGTCAATTTGGTGCATGAGTTGAGAAACTTTCCTTTGTTTCATATCTTGTTTGGGGTATGTCTTTTGCTACAGTTGAAGATGGAATTCATTGTTATACATTAGGTTTGGATTCACTTGGTGCTAAGCTGTAACTTGTTGTGATATTGCTGGAATTGCAAGTTTGGGATGTTTCAGTGTACCAATGGTGTCCTATATTTTCAGTGATATACTACTATCTACAACACTAGGGCACAAATTACTAAACTTTAGTGTACCAATGGTGTCCTGTATTTTCAGTGATACACTGCTATCTATTCCCTCTGTCCCAAATTGTTTGTTTGGCACGAAATACAATAACTTAAAATAAAGTATTCTCGTACCGAAATTTCAAAAAAATGTACCCAATTAAAAGATCTTATCAAGTATTTTTAATTTGTGGAAAAAAAATTGAAAATTTTGGCACAAAAATATTTTTAAATTCTTGTTTTTTGTGCCAGACAAACAATTTGTGATGGAGATAGTAGAATACTCAAAACATTTACTATAATGGCAGTAGACACAATATGTCTCAACACTATATGTGCTTTTCCTTTCCTGGATTTTTAGTCATATTTTCTGAATTCTGGTTGTGCAGTTCAGCTTACTGTCCTATATAGAAACCCTGCTAATATGGAAACCAATTAGTGAAGCTGCAATTTGATTGTGCTGACACATTATCTCTGTTGTAACCTCTGGTCAATGACAAGTTAGCATCTTGCTTGTTTATTCTACTACTTGATATCAAAATTTTGAATACTTATCTCAAATCAAGAAGCATAAATCCAAATAATTTTTTTTTAGGGGGGGAGGGGGGCAGCTATATTTATGCATCTTCTCTAGATTGCTAATGCAATATCTTCCATTGAAATCCGAAGCAATCAAGTTCTTTTTTCTTGGCCCCTACTCACTTCCATGTTTGTGGGTTAGTTGATTTGTGCAAGACATGGTCAAAACCATGTCAATTAACTTTTCTCTTTTTAAACAATTTGGCACTGCTTCTTTCTTCCTAGGACAATATTCATTTCTTGTTGGGTCCTTTTTCATAATACCACTCTTCCATCTCAACATTCTCGTGTTAGCTATACCTCTCACTTCTTACTTCCTAGGACAATATTCATTTCTTGTTTGGTGGCTGAGATGAATATGGAGAGGAGAACGAGAATTTTAGTTTTTCTGTTTTTGAAGATTTTGATCCAAAGACCATTGCATGGTTTGTTTGATTGATAGTTTTATTTATTTTTTCTGGCAATGATTTTGAAATAGATTACGAGTCTGAGGAAAATGCTCAAATTGTTTACTCAGCATTGGCTGTTGACAAGGAGGTGTTGTCACATGATGCTTTAAATCTGACCAACTTTCCTCGATTATTGTTCTTCAATCAATCTGGTGTTAATAAATTTTATATTTAACAGTTGCAGCCGGACAAAGTGAAAAGGCAGATGATTGTATCTAATGGAAAGCTTTCTGTGTGAGTTCCTTATTTATCAAAAATAGTCATATAATTGTATTAATCTCTACTAAAAAAATTATCCGAAAGAAAAATATGTGAACAGTGCATAAGTTTGTGCCATTCTTTCCATTATGATTTTTTTACCTTTCCATCCTCGTATTGTACAGGCATTTTGAAGCAGTTGAAACAAGATTTCTTCGTGCATTATTTAGTGTTTTCGTGGATGTTCTTATGCTCGCCACAAAAACAATTGAAGAATTTGGTCAAGGAATGGAATTATGATGCCCTTTGTACTACCGTTTGATTATTGTGGCTGGTTTTTCCAGCTATTCAGTTGCAATGTAACTCTATTTAGCATTTTTCATATCATTTTTGGTTGCCCATTGTTTTTTTTTTTTTTTTTTTT